TATATATCTCAACCGTACAATTGTGCATTACTGAACCCAGAAGTAGTATTACTGAACTAGTGAGTAGCAGCAGCGGGTGGGGGCTGGCCCTCACCCCACCTCTCTCCGCGCCATTTTTAATTTATAAAGGAAAACAAAGAAAAGGGGAAAATATTTTCACCCCAAAAGAGAAGTCTTTGAAGACCATGATAGACCATGGAGGAGGGAGAGGGAAGGACAGGGAAGCCTGGGGGGAGGAAAGGTGCGGGTGTGGAGAGCCACACGCATGGGGTTCCCTGGGCCCATCGCTGATTGGATGGGATGGCTGAGCAACCACAGAAGGCTTGTTTTCTTTCCTTGTTTGATTCCGCAAACAAACCAGAGTTGGAATAAATCCTGAGAGTGGGAGAGAAGGGTCACAGCCTTCCCAGCCTTTCGCCCGTCAGAGGCAAACAAGGGTCTGAGTGGCTTTGGACGGAGGGAAGGTAAACTGGGGGAAGGCAGCCGTGCGTGGGTGGGGAGTCTCCAGGGGAAAGTCCCGCATGCCACCAGCACCCTGGTGTGTGCGCCTGGGCGGCACGGCCTCCACTGGACAGTGTTCGCCACCAATGTTTGAGTCCCCTGCCCTCGCTCTGTCTAATGTTTAATCCATGTTTGTCCAGCTCAGTATCGATTCCTGGTCTCAGGGAGTAAGGGGACAGCGGGGGCCCACGACTAGGGACGGCGCCATGGGGCTGCGTGTGCTGCTGGGGGTCTTCCTGATGTCCCTCCCCGCTCTGCAGGCCTGGTCGGATCAGGGCTCGGACCCAGGCAGGCTCAGGGGCACTGAGGTTCGTGGCTAAGACCTCGGGGCAGAAATAGGCTGCTGGGACTGGATGGGGCCAGACAGGAGACAAGACCATCGTCCTAGAGGTCGGGGGTTACCTCTCCCCCCCTCCTCCCTTGGAGGGTGAAGGGACCTCCTAGTAGCACTGGGGAGGCCAGGGTGGGGGGCAGAGAGGACTTTGACTCACTCTTGGCTTTGTTTTGCAGAAGCGCCAGGCCGTGGGCACAGTGAGTGCAGATCTTGGTAACCGGGTCTGTGAGCGGCCAGGCAGAGGGATCAGGGGTACTAGCCCATCCTCATTCCCCCGGCCCCAAGCATGCCCCCTCTCCCAGAGCCATGGACAGAGGGCACTCTTGTGTCCAGGCTTGGGGAGCTGTCCCTGCTCACCTTGCCCCCTGCATGGACACAGGCAGGGGAAGGGTCCCTGCAGGGGATGTGGTCCACTCTCCTGTCTCAGCCTCTTGTATCTGAGCCAGAGTCTGTCTCTTTGAACGTCCAGGGGGAGCTCCCTGCCCCAGGCTAGAGGCCCTGCCTCTCTCTCTCTCTCTCGCCAGGCCGATGGCGTGGTCATCCGGAGCATGAAGGTCAACTGCAAGGTTACCTCCCGCTTTGCACACTACGTCATCACCAGCCAGGTGCTAAACAACGCCGACCGGGTCCAGGAGGTGGCCTTCGAAGTGGAAATCCCCAAGACGGCCTTCATCAGTGACTTCGCAATGTGCGCACCCCACCCCGTCCCAGCCCACGCCTCCCAGAGGGGCCACTCGTGAAGCTGGCCCCTAGCCAGGCCACCTCTCGCTCCCACAAGGGCCATGGGCCAGGCTCTGTTTTGAGGGGAGGTCTCAGCTCCTAGCTTAGAAAAAAATCAGTGCTCCCCATCTAGGTTACCAGGAACCAAGGCCACGGGCCACGCCTTCACCCGGGATTGGGGAGGGGGGGTGTCTCTAGCTGCTTCCTCACTGCCCATGCCCCTCCCAGCATCACTGTGGAGCTCAGGGTACCGGCCAGGAGGCCTCTTGTAAGAGCTGGTGTGGAGAGGGGCGTGCTGGGTGTGGGCTCTGGGCCGCCCGCAGGAGGAGTGGGTGGTTAAGGGGAGGCCTTCTCTCCTGGGGCCCCCTCCGCCCCGCAGCACCTCAGACCGGAACGCGTTCGTCGGGAACATCAAGGACAAAGTGACCGCCTGGAAGCAGTACAGGAAAGCCGCCATCTCTGGGGAGAATGCCGGCCTCGTCCGGTAGGTCCTGGGGCTGGCCCCCTGGGCCCCCTTCAGCAGAGGGCCGTGAGTGGCTGGGATGATGGGACGGGGAGCCAACCACCACGAGGGGGGGGGCAGGGGCCTCCTCCCAGACCGGCCTCATGGAGAGGTAGGCCCCATCCTGGGCAGCCAGCTGAGCAGGCTGAGGGAGGGCCACTGGAGCTGGATCACCGCCCAGAACAAGAGAGCCAAAGAGTGTGCATGGGGGTGGGCGGGGGCGTGGAGGAGGTCTCACTCGCCCTGCGGCCCCAGGGCCGAAGAGGAGAGATCCTCCCAGACCGGCCTCATGGAGAGGTAGGCCCCATCCTGGGCAGCCAGCTGAGCAGGCTGAGGGAGGCCCACTGGAGCTGGATCACCGCCCAGAACAAGAGGGGGCCAAAGAGCGTGCATGGGGGTGGGGCGGGGGCGTGGAGGAGGTCTCACTCGCCCTGCGGCCCCAGGGCCTCCGGAAGGACCATGGAGCAGTTCGCCATCCACTTCACCATCGGCCCCCGGAGCAGGGCCACCTTCCACCTGACCTACGAGGAGGTGTTGAAGCGCACGCTGGGCCAGTACAACATTGTCGTCAAAGTCAAGCCCCAGCAGCTGGTGCAGCACTTCGAGGTAGACCCCGACGGCCCGCACACCGGGGGCTGCACCCAGGGCTGGGGCTCCCCCTCTCTGGTCCTCGCACGGGGATCTGGTCAGCACCTGAGCACCCCGGGAAGGGGACAGAGTCCCCAGCTGGGGTTCCCGAGGGCTTTCCTTGCCCCCACCCCCCATCTGTTAAAGGTGAGTCCCCTGCATGTCCCAGCTCTGCGACGCAGGGCCCAAAGCTGCTGGATCTCCAGGGGGGTTGTCCTGCACCCCGTGATGGCCACTGGGCCGCGCTGAGAGGTGTGGGCAGGGATGGCTTCACCAGCCAAGAAGAGCCCAGCCCTGTGCTGAGGTGGACAGTCCCGGGGAGAGAATGGACGTGCTTCGGTGTTACAGATCAACGTGGATATCTTCGAGCCCCAGGGGATCAGCAAGCTGGACGCCCAGGCCTCCTTCCTCTCCCAGGACCTGGCCCACATGATCAAGAAGTCCTTCTCAGGGAGAAAGGTGTGTCGGGTGGCTGGGGGTGGTGACAGGCTGCCCCTGGGCCAGGGAGGCTGGTGCCAGGTACCAAGGAGCGGAGCATCTGGGAGAAGCCTACGCACACGCGCGCACACACACTTCTGCGAACCTCCTGATGCGGGCTGGATGCAGTAACCCCTGCCCCTGTGGCCCCAGGGCCACGTGCTTTTTCATCCCACGGTGAGACAGCAGCAGTCCTGCCCGACCTGCCCCACGTCCCTGTGGGATGGGGACTTCACGGTGACCTACGATGTCAATCGAGACAAGATCTGTGACCTCCTGGTGAGCCTGAAGCGTGTGGCCTGGATGGACAGACGGACAGATGGCAGAGTGCTCAGGAGAGAGGCCTCACGGTTCCCCTGTGCCTCAGGTCGCCAATAATCACTTTGCCCACTTCCTGGCTCCCCAAAACCTGACGAACCTGAACAAGAACCTGGTCTTCGTGATTGACATCAGCGGCTCCATGCAGGGCCAGAAAGTGAAGCAGGTAAGCACAGGCTGGGGCAGCGCCCCCCACTCCCACCCCTCCTCTACAGCCTGGGTCTAGGAGGGCTGACTGGGCAGAAACGTGGGGCGTGACCAGGAGTCCTAGGCTCATGGTGTCCCTCTGGACCAGAACCCCCACCATCCCCCCTCCTCCCGGGCCAGTGCAGCCGTGGGTCCTTAATGGCAAAAACAGGGAGGGTGACAGCGTCCTCAGGGCCAGGCGCTGATGGGTGGGCAAGTCCTCGGGGGTGGGCTGTCGACACCCCCCCCAGGGCAGGGTGTGAGTGTGGGGGCTGCTGGGAGTCCTTCAACCTGTTGGGGTCTGAATGGTCAGTCCACGGCGCAGTGGGCCACAGCTGGACCGACAGGACTTTAGAAACACAGCCTGCGGGGTCATGACTCTTCCCAGGTGGGTTCCCTTCTCCCCCCCACTCCGGCCCCCATCCACCCCGGATGGAGCAGGACATCCTAACCTGGGACGGACGGATGGACAACTGTCTTGTCCATGAGCTCCAGGGGTTCTTGGGGACATGTCCCTCCCCTACCCCCTCTGTCCCTGCAGACCAAAGAGGCTCTCCTGAGGATCCTGGGGGACATGCGGCCGGACGACCACTTCGACCTGGTTCTCTTCGGGTCTCAAGTGCAGTCCTGGAAGGGCTCGCTGGTGCAGGCCACCGCCGCCAACCTGCAGGCAGCTCGGGATTTTGTGCAGCGCTTCTCCGTGGCTGGGGGTAAGCGTGGGGGTTGGGGTGGGGGTGCCTCGGGCTGCCCCAGGGCAGTCTCTGTGCCTGCAGAGAGAGCTTTCCCTCCGTGGCAGCCACAAACCTGGACGGCGGTCTGCGGCGGGGAATCGACACCCTGAACAGGTCCCAGGAGGCCGTCCCTGCGCTGCGCAGCCACGCCTCCATCCTCATCATGCTGACCGACGGCGAGCCCACCGAGGGTGAGTGTCTCGCCCGCCCGCCTGCCTCAGGAGGCGGCGATCTTCTCGCCGAGGTGGTAAGAGGGGGGCCGAGGGCCCGGTCCAGAACTCGGCTACAAAGCCACTGACCACACCACGAAGCTGAAGGGTGTGCCCCCGTCCTGTGAGTCGGCTGCTGTGGGCCTCTGCATGGGCCTGGGAGACCGGCAGGGCAGGGCAGGG